CCGGCCCCCAGCGCCATCTCCACCACCACCCCCCGGCCCATCAGCAAAAAAGGTTGCCGACCCCTTTTCTAGTCTATACCCACAGGGTGCTTTGTTTTATACTGCTTGGAGAACAATTTTTGGATGGTGGAGAATTATTTAGTGGGTTTTGAAGATAAAAAATTCATGTGTTAAATAATCAAAGTTTATGTAAAAAACATGTTAGTTTGCCTCTGTGTGTTGACAAATGGGTGGAACAGATGGGCAGGAAAAAGCATCTGAAACCTGTATTTTCTGGGAGAGAATCAAAACCCTGCTGTCCATACCAGCTGCTCCTAAGGCAGCCTGAATGCTCATGGCCTGACCTCATGGCGCGGCATCAAGCTTTACTGCTGGGCATTTTTTTTGTTGCCTCCCCACCATGCATGTGTGTCATTGCACAAACACACTGCTGGCAACTGCCTCCTGCCTAGATGCCATCCCACTGGATGGCTGCCCCATTGATCAGCCACACAGTTGCACCTGTGATTATCCACCAGTACACCAGTACATTGGGACATCGGTGTTCCTATGGCAAAGCACAATCATGCCCCCTTCACCCACCTTTATCCCATGCATCCTCTTCTGTTGTTTGGTTTGTGTATATTGTACTTATATCCATTGAAGATGACACACTTTCACTTTTTTGCATTGCCACCTCGACCACTTGAGTATACTGGTTCCGTCCTTTTTAAACATGCATCTGCACTCGTACATTTATATGCAGTTTTAGGGTTAGGGCTATGTTGGTTCACTCCTTCAGAACTGCTCTCACATCAGGGTGTTTATATACAGGGTCAAAGGTGTGCATTTTCTGGACTAAGTCAGAATATCCCAGGTTCTTTTTGCTCTGGTTTTTAGCCCTGGAGTGCAGCTTCAATCTGCTTTCCACTTGCTTTGGAGGCATACCTCATCTAAGCACCCTATCTTCAAAGTGGGTGGAAACTGCTTTATTTGGCATGTCTGTTTCACCCTTGAGTGTGATAGCTTGTTTGGATATCAATAACAGATACAGTTTCCTTTCCTTTTTTCTTTCATTTATCTAATTCTGTTATTCTTCTACCATCTATTTGTGAAGATGAATCACTTTAACTTGAGAAAACTGGGCATATGGATAAAAAGTACATGTGATAGAAAGTCAATTGATCCAAAATTGACACTATGACCATGTAGCCACTTAGCCTTTACAGTTTTTTAGATGTTACATAAAAAGAAAGAAAGAAAATTGGAGAGAGTTTTGATCGCCCTGAATGAGATGTGAATGTGCAGATTAATTAGCCTACTCCTGTTTGTCTCTAAAAACATAAGTTACGTATGAGGCCAAG